TCTTACAGTTATGTTTTAATTCTGATTTTGTTAACTAGTTTTATCTAGACAGTTTTATTTTGCAGATTTAATTGAATTACTTTTATACAATGTTCTGCATTTGCTATTTATGGATGACAAATAGAACAAAGGGCCAAACTGTAATCATGTCAACATTATGTTTACAGTTTGAATCTATGAATGAGTCATTAAAGATTGTTGAAACCTTGGTAGTTTTGAAGGGTGGGCAAAGAACTGTTCAGTTTTGTCACACATACAGTAAAACCAAAAACAGTTCTTGTTTTTCAATCCAGTTGGAAGCCTTATGTGTTTTGCAGATTCATGTATGTGATTATAAAAGTCTTGGATGTTATATATCCATGTACTTCGATAGTCCTTTATGAATTTTTCAAAATGACAGTGGCTTGATAAAAGGAACAAGAGAATTTTGAGTTCCACATGGCCATTAAGTAATGAACAATAAGTCTAAATTGATTATTTGATCAAGTGGGAGAATGTAAGAAGGTTTATTACATTAAACCTACTAAAGTGATCTTCTAATCAACTTAGGATTACAAAGACTTATTGTTTATTAGGAACTCAAAACCTATCTCGATTAGGCAAGCCTCAAACAGTGTTCAATAAGGATAATGAAGGCTTAAGGGTTCCTAGTTCTACAAGGATTGAAATGGATTAATCCTATAGCATGAAGGATATCTCTAAGTGTTTCTTGATGGGCAAGACACTTAGAGAGATGCATATAAATAGAAGGCTCCCTCCTAGATCCGAATAACACAACACAGCTAAACAGAAATTCACCCATCAGAGTTATAGCTATAAGGATCGGATTCTCAGGAGAAGAACTTCTATTCCTTGCACTGCCAATCTGTTCCAGCATCATCCAGCCCTTGCGCCAACACCATGTCAGACTCAGGTTAGTGTTAAACATGTTATGGCTTTAAGGAATTAACAGCCCAGTCCCCACACCTCACCCACTACCCTTCCACAGCTCCTCCACTCCACTAATGAACTAACTAGCTTTTGACCCTTGTAATAGATCCCCTTTTTTTCCAAGTATTATTCTCTTCCTAATGGTACCTTGATAGAGATTCTTATTTTGACAATTTTTAATATTATCAGCTTGCTGCAATGCAATGCCATCAAAAAGATCATTCAACATAACTGTGGTGCCCAGATATGTTGTCAAATCTGATTTGCATTAATTAAATGCATGCCATCCCAAAGTCATGCATGATAGCAAAATAATGTCACTTTTAGGTGATTAAATTAGAAAAAGGGTGATATGGTGATGACTCAAATATCTTGTTTAATGGTGATTAGAAGTCATATAGTGACTCATTATCTATATAATGTACTGCTAACTGGTAAGATGAACATGACAGCAAAAAACAATGCCCTGTTTTCTGAATATTAATTGATGTATCTTGTTCATATGATGACTCATTTCTGTTTAACTCTGTCTCTGCGGCATGGCATGCAAAACAAACGCTAGCCTGCATAAATGAGTGAAGAAGGGGAAGCAAAAAAGAGCAAAATGCAAGTCACAATCTCTCTCCTCTTCCAAATTCTAAAAGAAACATCAAAAAACGTGGTCGGCAGGATTCGAACCTGCGCGGGCAAAGCCCACATGATTTCTAGTCATGCCCGATAACCACTCCGGCACGACCACCTGATGCTAATTGTTCTACAACTTTGCATATATATTCCTCTATTAAGTTTTAATGCCCAAAGTGAGTGTCCTTTCAATTTGGACCCATCAAAGTTATTGAATTATATCATTGTCCATCAATCAATGCCGCTGTGAAATTAGGGACGCAATTTCATCAATCAATGTAGATTTTTAATTTCTCATATTATTGGATGTTACCAATACCAAGTTTGTACTCTTTTGTTTTAATAAAAATAAAAAGGCTTATTATCACAAAACGTCTCTAAGGTTTACGAAACTATCAGATTGCATCCTTAATGTTTTTTTGTGTCATTTATGGTCCTCAAGGTTAGTATGTGCAATTACAAATGGTCCATGCCGTTAGATTCTGTCAAAAACTCTGTTAGTTTGCTGATGTGGCATACATATATATCACAAAATATTCCTTAGGTTTACACACTTATCACAAATGGTCCCTACAAATTTTTTTTTAAAAAAATCTAAAATTCATAAAATTTTGGTTTTCTTTTAAAAATTATTTATAAATTAAAAAACCATTTTATGAAAAAACCATTTATAGAAGGATTTTAATCTTGAGGACCATTTAAGAATCCTAAACCTTTAGTTTTTTTCATTTTTAAAATTTATGAATTTTAAATTATTTTTTAAAAACTTCATTAGTTTGTTGTTGTGGCATATATATGGAGTCCACATCTACAATAAGTGTCGCATGTATTTAAAATTTAATATATATTTTAAAATAATTAAAATTCATAAAAATTTTAAAAAGTAAACAAAAATTTTATGAATTTTAAATTTAAAAAATTAAAAAAATTTCATAAAGACCATTTGTGACAGGTGTGTGAACTTCAAGGATATTTTGTGATATACATATATGCCACGTCAGCAAACTAACGGAATTTTTGACGGAACCTAACGGCAGAGACCATTTGTGATAATACATACTAACCTTGAGAATCACGAATGACAAAAAAAAACATTAAGGATGCAATCTGATAGTTTCGTAAACCTTAGGAACATCTTGTGATAATAAGCCAAATAAAAATAAAGATAAAGAGAGAGAATATACTGATGCTCACATGCAACTTGCAAGTGTGAGAAGGCCTGAGCCAAATTGAATATAGAACTAGAAATATAATTCAAGTTGCTGCAAATGGAAAGGCAACCAACTACCCAGGAGACAGGATCACGTTTGGTCCTTTACAGAGCTAAGAGAGGTCCCAAATTGCGTTAAAACCCAACAGTATTAGGATTTATTGGGAATAACAATCAATCAAACAATTTGATTCAAAAATTTAAAACAAAAGTACCAAAAACATAGAGAAATAGGGAGGAATACAAATTAAGAACACGAATGTTTGTGCGTAGGTCCATATCCCACAGACCCTAGCTGGGATATTATATATTGGATGCTTAATTACGAGAAAATCCCTATGAAAAGCAAACCCATCATCCCAAACACCAATCCCATGAAACCCGCATTGCTCTTAATCGAACCAGCATCAGAATTATCAGGTGACGACGCAGCTTTTGTTGCCGTTTCGTTTGAGCTTCCTGATGATGAGTGGGTCTTAGCTGGAGGAGGAGCCGATGCAGGTGCCTTGGCGCCAAACAAGTCATTAGGCAACAGTACTTTGTCCACTTGGTAAACGGCCAATGGAAACTGTTGTCTAAGTGCATTGTTGATCTGAGTCTCCACCACCCCACTAGACACATTAACTTGGTTTCCCGACCCTGTGAAGTTCAGCCCGTACGCGCCGCCGTCTTGGCCCGTGGCCTGAGTTCTAACGGGGTTTGACACCGTTAAAAGACTGGTTAGAGTGTAATATTTGGGCAGCACATGGTAGAGCACAACGGCTACTTGTTGTTGGGTTCTTAGATTGTTGAGTGTGCCGGCTTTGAGGCTGGTGAAAGCATTGTCTGTCGGGGCAAAGACGGTTAGGCCCTCGGTGGAGCTGTTGAGTTGGTTTGTAATTTGGGATGCTACTTGGGTTTGGATTAGGAGGCGGATGAAGGTGGTGTATTGGCCGTTCTTATCGAGGATGCCGGTGAAGTTGAGTGGGCCCGTGGGACCCGGGGCGGGTGCGGTTTGGGCTTGGGTGTGGGGGGTGAAGAGGAGGAGGAAGGAGAAGGCTGCAGTGAGAGTTGGGAGAATGAGAGCTGCCATGGTGTTTTTGGATGGAGTGGTGTAGTGTAGTGTAGTGGGATGATGGGGGATTTTATGGGATAAGGCGTAAAGGTATGGGGTCAGTGAGAGAGAGAGAGAGAGCCTAAGTTGGAATGAGCTGGCTTGGCTCTAATTGTGGACTAAAATAAATCATGACAACACATAAAAGAAGAAATTCTATTTGGGCACAAACGTGACAACGCTTCTTCATATAATTTTTTTTCCTTTTTTTAGTTGAAAATATATAGACCAAATAAATTAGCATATATCTATTGAATAAACAGCTCAGCTGACAAATATTTGCTAGTCTGATTTGGATGTCTAGCCATCCATGAGTAGTAGTATGTTCGACCTATCTATATATTAAAATCCTATATATTCGTTCACCTAGTGTAAGTTGAGGTGCATTTGTAAATGAAACAATGAACTTATATATATATATATATATATATATATATATCTTCTATTTATTTGAGGGACACCCTTTAGGGTACTTTATAAATTTTTTTTTTTCCAATGATCAAAACCATCTATTTTTTAAGTCTACATTCATAGATCATTCTTGCGAAAAATTAGACAAATCAGAAACCATTTCAATATCCAATTATATCTTACAAAATCAATGAACACAGTGCTTCAAGAAAGTACTAAAATTCCAATAACACAATTGAGTGGTCAAACAATATCGGATTCAAGGTAGAGATAATTTTTGAATGATTATCTAAAACATAGACGGTTTGAATTAGTGAAATACAATGCAAAGTGAGCTTTACAAGGATGTCCCTCAAATAAACTAATTTGAGGGATCCCTCAATGGAAGCTATTTGTATATATATATGATGAAATTAGTTATCTCATATTTGTGATATTCTTTATTCAAACAACAGATCCTGAAAGAGGAAAAAAAAGTTAAACCCTTTACAATTAGTAGTCCAAGTAGGACTAAGACAAAATTAAACTCGGCTCAACCCATCAAGTAGTAGTATTACGTTTGTCTGCATATTCTTTTATTGATTAATCAAAAAGCAGAGACAGACAGAAGGTATAAGCATATATCCAGATCAGTGATCAGTTCGGGCAGCTTGGCTGGCATATAACATGGCATGTGGGATTCCCGTTTAACAGCTCTATATAGTTTGGTTTCACCACCATACAACTACAGTCCAGCCTACCAACGGGGAAGAACTTGCATGTCATCACGGGGTCCTCTATTTATCGCATTTTGTATTTGTAATGTAAAACAGTTATCGCAAGTAGCAGAATACGATCAATAAGAAATAACAAAACAGTGATATTCTCATGAATCATGATATACAAGTTTTCTTCCTGCCAAAGAAGTATTGTTCCCCATGAGCAATGATGATGAAGAGGAGAAAATTTAATATAAAATAATATAGTGCAACATTATTGTGTGTGTTAGGAACCAAATGCGTGTTGCAGGGCCCATTATCAACAATATACCAGTCTGTTTGTCCCTACACTAGCATATCTATTTGTATACAACTCTCAGCCCGTCCTCATTCATTCATTTTGAAGTATATATACTGCCAATGCCAGGTGGGATTAATGTTTGCAGCTTGATGAATTTGTACCAACTCTGCCTTGCCTTCAGTTTCATGCCAACAACTACAAAATATTTATTTATAACTGATTTGTGGAAGTAGCTGCTCTGCTCGCGTTTCATATTTAGTATACATCCCACAGGTAGGCGATAATCTTCAATCTTTTTTCTCATACACACAACTGATGTTGTGGAAGTTTGAACCTAAGACCCCTACTATGTAAGTCAAGACTCTTAATATTTGTCAATGCCAAGTGGGACCATTGGCTCAACCTTAATAACCTAACAATCGTGCATTCCAAAAAAAATCGTGCATTCCAATCCTAATTTTGATGTATATTTTGAGGTTTATTTGAGCCCAATCATTGGGTATGGTGTGAGGATGGGCAAGGCATATCCTAATGGACTACCAAATCGGTTCTTTTTTGGGTGACTACCAAATCATTTATAAGCCCATTTCATGCATACATCTTACTACAAACAAAAAGCCCATGCTTTATTTCTTAAAAGAAAACCCAAAGAAACAAAAACCAGGGTTTTGGCTTTCAGAGGGTTTAAGGCGCGTTCTCCTCTCTGCCTAATGCTATTTTCTGATTACAATCGGCGTTTTGTTCGTTTCTCATGATTATCCGCCAACTGAATTTCAAAACCCTCCAACGAATACCCAAGCAACGGTATGCTAGCTGCTCTTACTTCCATTCATTCAGACATGAGCACCAACCGTTCGACCAAAATCCCCAACCATATGCAGCCTCAACTAACCGCTCTCTGCTCAACTACTTGCACAGAAACCTTCCACTTAGAGCCCTTGACATGTTCTGTAAGCAACTTCAACTACATTTGTCTCATAACATTGATGAAGTTACCGTTACCCTTGCTGTCAAGGCCTGTCAAGGGGACCCTAAACCTGGATGCCAAATTCACGGGTTTGCAGTTTCTTCTGGATTTGCTTTGTATACTACGGTTTCAAATTCTTTGATGAGTATGTACACTAAAGCTGGGCAGCTTGATGGTGCCTTACTTATCTTTGAAACTATGTGTTATACTGATATAGTTTCTTGGAATACTATTCTTTCGGGATTTCGAACAAGTGAGGGTGCATTGAATTTTGCGCTTAGGATGAATTTTAATGGAGTTGTTTTTGATCCAGTGACTTATACTACGGTTCTTGCTTTTTGTGCGGATCATGAAGATTTTCTATTTGGATTACAACTGCATTCTCTTATATTTAGGTCTGGTTTAGATGGTGAAGTTTTTGTTGGAAATGCACTTATAAGTATGTATTCGAGGTGGAGACGGTTAATAGAAGCTAGGAGTGTGTTTGATGAAATGGCGAATAAGGATCTGGTTTCATGGAATGCAATACTATCAGGTTACTCTCAAGAGGGAAATCATGGGCTTGAAGCGATTTTTGTCTTTATTGAGATGGTGAGAGAAGGGGTGGGGTTAGATCATGTCTCATTTACTAGTGCAGTTTCAGCTTGTGGTCATGAAATGAATTTAGAACTTGGGAAACAGATACATGGCTTGACAATTAAATCAGGATATGGAAGTCATGTTTCAGTTTGTAATGTATTGATCTCGACATATTCAAAGTGTGAGGTTACTGAAGATGCAAAATTAGTCTTTCATTGCATGAATGATCGCAACGTAGTGTCTTGGACGACTATGATTTCTATAGACGAAGAAGGTGCCATCTCTCTATTTAATGAGATGAGATTGGATGGAGTATATCCAAATGATGTTACATTTGTTGGACTAATCCATGCTATATCAATTAGGAAGTTGGTGGAGGAAGGCGAAATGATGCATGGGTTTTGTATAAAGACTGGCTTTTTATCAAAGCATAATGTTTGCAACAGCTTGATTACCATGTATGCTAAGTTCGAGTCCATGCATGACTCCATCAAAGTTTTTGAGGAGTTAAACAGCAGAGAAATCATATCGTGGAATGCTTTGATTTCAGGGTTTGCTCAGAACAGGTTGTGTCAAGATGCACTAAAAACATTCTTGGTAGCAACTATGGAGTCGAAGCCAAACAATTACACATTTGGTAGTGTCTTGAGTGCAATTGGTGATGCTCAGGATATTTCTCTGAAATTTGGCCAACGATGCCACTCTTCCTTGATCAAACTTGGATTAGTGACTGACCCAATTATCGCAGGTCTCTTCTTCATATGTATGCAGAGCGAGGAAGCATCTTTGAGTCCAAAAGAGTTTTCAGTGAGACGCCTCATAAAAGTCAGTTTGCATGGACTGCAATAATATCTGCATACGCTGGGCATGGAGACTATGACTCAGATATAGAATTGTTCAAGGAGATGGAGAAAGAAGGGGTAAGACCTGATTCAGTCACATTTCTTTCTATACTAACAGCATGCGGCAGAAAGGGAATGGTGGAGATGGGCCGTCACCTCTTTCACTCAATGGTGAAAGACTATCATATTGAACCATCTCCTCAACATTATTCAAGTATGGTAGACATGTTGGGACGGGCAGGGAAATTGGAGGAAGCAGAGGAATTGATGAGTCAGATCCCGGGACAGCCAGGGTTTTCATTGTTGCAAAGCCTGCTTGGGGCTTGCAGGATCCATGGGAATGTGGAGATGGCGGAGAGAGTAGCCGATACATTGATGAGATTGGAACCAATGGAATCAGGTTCTTTTGTGTTGATGTCCAACTTGTATGCTGAGAAAGGGGACTGGGAAATGGTAGCAAAAGTTAGGAAAGGGATGAGAGATAAAGGAGTGAGAAAGGAAGTGGGATATAGTTGGGTGGATACTGGTGATGCTGATGGTTCCTTGTATCTGCATGGGTTTTCATCTGGTGATACATCCCACCCACAGTCTGGGGAGATATGTAGAATGGCAAAATGTCTAGGATTAGATATGAAAATTTTGAGAGAGAACATGTGGGAGACAAAATCACTGAAAATGGACTCCTTCTCAAGGCCCTCACTTTGAAGGCTTGAATCTGTACATGTAAAGCTTCAAAAATAACTCATGATTGTTAAGAAGTGATGTAGCCAAATTTCTAAAAATAAAAATAAAAAAAGGAATTTCATCTTGAGGTAACATACAAATGAAGTTTTGATGTGAACGATAACAAAAGGTCATGTATGGGTTCTCTTTGCCTATCACCACCTATAATCTTCTAGTTTAACGTTTATAATAAAAAGAAAAAAGAAAGGTTGCATATACAAAAGGATATAAATGAGTGAAAATTAACCATCAAGATCTGGTAAGTCATGGAAACAACCAGAAGACAAAGCAATAATAATAGAGCTTATATATAGCCGAGCGGCTATACTATTTAAATATATTATTTTGAAGGTATAGCCGCCGGCTATACTCTTTGAATGTATCCGAATATTTTAAAGGTATAGACGCGCGGCTATACTATTTAAATGTAGTATAGCCGTGCGGCTATACACTCGTATATAGCCGAGCGGCTATACGCGGCACTTGCAGCCACGACCATTTTGCTTCTCCATAAGCGCTTCCAAGCTTCAAAGACTCGGTCTTAAGCCT